AAAAAAAAAAAAAGTGCCATGTTGTTTTTATAAGAAAGGAATGAGTCATATATACATGTTACTGTCCAAAGATTATAAATATTTTTAGGTAGGTCTAAGCTTTTAATGCAAAGCCATTGATTACATTTATCAACTTTGGTGTCTGAAAAATATTAGGAAATATTAATTATGATTAATGTTCTAAAAGCAGTGTCCCACCTAATTTTTAAATTTCTTGATTATTAATAATTTTTTATATTGGAAGAAATTTGTTTTCTATGGAATTTTATTTTTTATATATGTTTCAAAGCAACATTTTACATAATTTTTTAAGTCTTTATCAAAATGTAGGTTGCCAGGTATAATTTGCACAAACAAATTTAGCATAGGGAGTCACAGATTAAAGCAAGCAGTGGACTTAACTTTTCTGCATCCTGCCCTTCCCCATAACCCTTTGCACAGCACTAATGCCTTATTCTGCTCATCATATCAAGAGGCCAACCGCGCAGTAGGTAATAGTGAAGGTACTTTGCAATCACAACCTAGTCGACCTAGAACACCAGGGCTTATTCTTACAGTACTAAAGTTGAATGCCACTAATTACTTATATCAATTTTGTATTTTAACATTTAGATTTATGGAAAATTTACAAACGGAGATTCAAGAAATGGAATTCCTTCAGTTTTCTAAAGGTTTGAATTTCATGAGAAAAGAAGATTTTGCAGAGTGGCTACTTTTTTTCACTAACACTGAAAATAAAGACATTTACTGGAAAAATGTGAGGGAGAAGTTGTCAGCAGGAGAGGTTGGTGCCTTTCATTATGCATGTGGTAAAGATGAACTAAGAAGTCCAACATATTTAAGTAATTAAATAATTTCTAAATTAACCAAGATTATGCTACTCTGGTATAAAAGCAAGTTGAGGAATGCTGTTCACAGCCTATTTTCCTATGAATGAATTACTGCCTAAGACAGAATCGGTATAGCGACCATGTGCTTAACATTTCCAGTCAAATCAGAAACAAGACAGGACTTCACTATCACTATTATTATGTAATATTATTCTGGAAATCTTAGCCAGTGCAACTTAACAAGATAAAAGAAGTGTATAAAATTTGAAAGATGGTAACAGTTGTCTTTGTTTGCATATGATATGATTGTATGCCTAGAGAACCCAAGAGAATCCAGTTGAAAAACCTTTAGAAACCATGAGAATTCAATAAAGTGCCTGTTACAGCGCTAATATATTAGAAGTAGTAGCTGTCCTGTGTATAAATTACAAATTAGAAACAGTAATAGTTTGCGTGTTTGTGCATGTGTGAGATGCGTGAAATGATAACTGCCAAAATATGAATAATGATTAATGTACAGTAGTGAGATTGCAAGTGATTTTAACTTTCTTCCTTTATACCATTACCAGAAAAATTCTTGGAATGGGCAGGTATTTGTACATAACTTTGTTTGTTTTGGCAGCTGGCCAGTATGGGGATCCAAACCCTTGACCTTGGTATTATAACACCGTGCTCTAACCAACTGAGCTGGCCAGCCCTATTTTTGTATAACTTTAAAAGAAAAACTAGGGGCCGGCCCGGTAGCGCACTGGATAAGTGCGCCACTTGGGAAGCACGGCGGCGCTCCCGCCCGAGGGTTCGGATCCCACATACAGACCGGTT